GAGAGCCGGCCGTAATTGTGGTGGAGGACCAAGAAGATGCTACCCAGGAACCGGGTACCATGGCTGGCCAATCCCCTCCACACCCCGTGATGCAGGGTGGCGACCTCGTTGGGTCGTCTCAGGGCATTGCCTTGGAGCGACCTCCCTCACCACCCGCAGTGACCTACGAGGTGGCGACCGGGGGTCGCTCGACGAGGCTCTGCATCCCTCCCCTGCCCCAAAGCCTAGGGGACGTACAGCTGGAGACTCTGATCACTCTGGCTGCAGAAGACCAGGCTCGTATCTCAGCAGGCTCCAAGGACGACCTTGACAACATGGTCCTTTTGAGGCTTAGTCAGGTACTGGCCTTGATCTCCTATGCATCACTCCTTTTCTTTATGCCTCTAAACCTCACCCCTTTGCGCAGGCTACGCTGGGGATGATTGAGGTGGTCGGCCGGAAACGGGGTCGCCAGGCCGCCGCGGACGAGGCGATGAAAGCAGTCGAGGCCAAGCAGAAGGAGCTGCAGGAGGAGGTCGCTCGACTCACAAGGGAGTTGGAGGAGAAAGAAAATCGCTGCGCGGCGCTTGCTGTGGAGAAAGCTTCCCAGGAGAACCGCTGCGTCGCCCTTGAGGCAGACAAGGCCTCCTTGTCCTTGGAGGTAGAATCTGTTTCTGCTCGAGTGGTCGAGCTGGAAGGGGAGAAATCTGATCTGATCCAGCAGTTGGAGGTGGATAGGAGCGATCGGGTCCGCCATGCAGAGGAAGCGGTAGAATCCTTCAAGTCCTCTCCCGACTTCACGGTGGTCGCGATGGAGCGGATGGAAGAGCTAACAGCCGCTTGGCTCAAAACTGAACTTGGGGCTCAATGGATGGTCAAGGAGGGGACCAAGTCCTTCAACTGCGGACTCTTCCACGCCCAACAGGTCTTCCGCGACAGGCTGGCCTAGCTCCTCAAAGGATTCTCTCTCCCCGACCTTGGCTTCCCTCCTCCCTGCCGCTCCTTGGCCGAGTTCGACCCCAGTCCCTATCTGGACGGGGGGAGCTCGAGTGCGTCGGAAGAAGAGGAAGAAGAAGAAGTGGAAGATGGTCTGAGCGACCAGAATCCAGGGGCCAGCTTAGCCATGTCCAAAGCGGGTGGACCTTCCAGCTCGGCCGTCTAAATCCCCCATTGTTCCCCCATAGCTTTACAAACACTTGCCTCTCTCTTTTCCTTCGGAATGATTTGTCGTTTTGATACAATGCTCCTATGTTGTTTGATTTTCTAGATTCACCATGTGCTTTCTCTTTTTGGCGCTTTACTTCAGCACTCTCTTTTTTGATTTAGCTGGTTAACATGTATGTTTTAGTTTGGGCCCAACTCCTAGTCCCGGCCCGTTTACCTGTCCGGGCCCAATCTCTGGATTGGCCATCGTGCTGCCCAATTGATCCAATGCCCTTCCCAATGCCCTTCACCGTTTCTGATTGGACCTTCGCGCGGCTCAAAGCTGCTTTATTGGTTCGGCTACCTCGAGACTTGACCGTCTCTTCGGTTCCTTCGCCCTGGCTTATTTATAAGTCCCCCTGGCCTCTATTCCGCTCCATCACCAAATATCCTCCTTTTCTCCATTCTTACCATGTCTGAAGGAATTTCTGTTTCTCTGGATCTTTCTGACGGGCCGACTCCTTCTTCGCCGGAGCCTGCCTCCTCCCCCAAGTCAGTCAATTCCAATGACTGGGGGGGGCTTGACCCTTACGAATTCTGTCGCCAGTTGCCTCGCCGGCAGTGGCCGTTGGTGAAACCGCCGCCACCACCTCCAAACCCTTATGAAGACTTTAGTGAGGCGTACGAGGCCCTCTCCGCCAACCGCCTGCCTGACGGGCGGATTGACTGGGATGCTCCATGCCCCCTCCTGGAGCATGAGTGCCTGGGAGAGCTTTCAAGATGAGCACTTACCCCTCCTGGAGCATGAGTGCGCATACTACGCAAGTTTTGAGCGATGGACTAGCGAAAGTCGCACCAGTTCGCCGGTGAGGCCTACGGAGGAGGTTGTGTTAGAGGAAGAACTGGGTTCTTCCCTACCTCGCCCCGCTTGCCATTCACTTTCCCAGAAGACCCCTAGGCGACCTGAAGTAGCCCGGGCGGCTTCAGGAACTCCATCCTCGCCTAGGTGATGCTGGTTGGGGTTCACAGAGAAGTGAGCCGTCCCCCGCCCTTCCTTGGTAGGAGAAGGGCGGTGGGTTTTTGCCGAGGCTGGCGGCGACCACTCTCGTTCCATGTTGGGGAAGAAAGGTGGTCGTCCTGGACGGCCGGTGATCGGAGTTTTGCCTACCTATACAGCCGCAGAACTACCTTTCAAACCTGCCTGTCCCCCCTAGACCTTCGCTCTCAAAGTCTTAGATTGTTGTTTTTCATTGTAAGAGATGTATGGGGAAGTATCCTTCCTTACGTAAAGATTGTTCTCAACTATACTGTAGCAGATGCAAGAGATTATCCTTGAAATGTAATGAACATTTCTAAGAATGTATTTTGATGTTACCTGTTTACTTACAAGTTTCACCTTTGTCTCTTTCGCATCCTACTTTTGATCGCTCAGGTTTCCTCGGACTTGAATCAGAGAATACCTCGCCTCTTTTGACTTAGCCATTTCCGGGTTACTTTGACCCTTGTGGCGTCGCCATACCCCCAAGATCCCCTGGTCGCTCATGCGATCAACAGATCTTGTGTTCCAGACTTAGCCGTTCTCTCAGGCTTTCTTGCCATGGCGTCGTCTTCAACCTTGGTCGCTTGACAAGGTTCGACGCTTCACCCACTACTGGGTATCTTAGCACGAATCACCGTGCAATTTTAGCGATCTCTTGTGGTCGCTCCCCCCCCCCTTTTTTGGAGAATTAGAGACAAGATGTGCCAGAAAGCTGGTTTTATTAAATCTCAAGAAAAAGACATGGCTGGAATACAATCTATTGATAAAATTTGATAAGGTTGACGGCATTCCATACTCGCGGAACGTCGCCACCGGTTGGAGTCTGCAATCTAAATGTCCCACCAGCCAACACCTCCTTTATGATATATGGCCCCTCGAAGCTTTTAGCAAACTTCCCTCCATCGGTCGGCCGGCTGGCTGGCCTCCCTCTTCCGAAGGACCAAGTCGCCCACCTTGAACTGCCTTGGTCGCACCCGCTGGTCGTGATATGACTTGACCTGCCGGCGGTAGTTTTCTGCCCGCATATATGCCCTTTCCCTTCGCTCATCAATGAGGTGCAGTTCTGCCCTCAGGTTCTCCTCATTTCCTTGAGCATCAAACGTCTCTACTCTATAACTTACCAACGAGGTCTCCGCTGGAGCCCTTGCTTCAAATCCATATGTGAGCGAGAAAGGAGTTTCACCTGTGGCCTTCCTTGGGGTAGTTCTGTAGGTCCAAAAAATATAGGGCACTTCTTCCACCCAGGCACTTTTGCATTCCATTATCTTCTTCTTGAGGCCGTCCATGATGGTACGATTGGTTTTCTCAACCTGCCCATTGGTTTGGGGGTACCCGATCGCTGCATAGCTGTGTTTTATGCCCCAGCTCTGTAGAAACTCATTGAACCCTCCGGCCTCGAATTGGGTTCCGTTGTCGGTGATGATCTGCTGGGGCACCCCAAATCGGCACAAGATTTGCTTGGAAACGAACTTCGTCATCTGTTCCGCAGTGATGGTTGGCACGGGGGCGGCCTCGACCCACTTGGTGAAGTAGTCAATCTCGACCACCAGGTATGTGTTGTTCCCTGTCCCCCGAGGCAAAATACTGACCAGATCGATGCCCCACAGGGCAAAAGGAATCGTTGTGCTTATCGGGGTATAATTCGTCGTCGGTCGCCCTGGCATCCTCTGGAATTCCTGGCAAACCTTGCATTTGCGCACGTACTCTGCGCAATCTCTGATAATCGTTGGCCAAAAGTATCCTTGTAGGGTCACCTTCCTGGACATCGTGAAGGCTCCCTGATGTGCTGAACATATTCCCTCATGAATTTCCTCCATTAACTTCTGTGCCTCGCCCGCTCTTAAGCACCTCAACAATGTACCATTGTACAATCGCTTATACAGCCGACCGCACTCCAGCGTGTAGCTGGGTGCACGTCGCTTCACCACCTTTGCCGCGATTGGGTTGATAGGTAGCGACCCGTCAAGGATGTACATGGTAATATCATCAATCCAATCCGGCTCCTCTTTGAGTGTGATGATCAGCACTTGTCCGGGACTGATGCTTGGCTCGAGCAACTCTTCTTCCTGGGTCATTGCCTTAATATGATCCGGGGAATCCGGACCAAGCTTTGACAAGATATCTGCCTCAGCGTTCTCTTCCCGAGGAACCTGCTCTATCCGGTACGCCCCAAATGCTTTAAGCAACTCCAGGGCAGTGTCTCTATACTTCTTCATTCGTTCATCCTTGGCCTCAAATTCTCCAGTGACGTGGCCTACCACTAGCTTGGAATCGCACCGGACTTGGATTCGCTCAGCTTTTAATGAGGCTGCCAACCTCAAGCCGCAAAGCAGTGCCTCATATTCAGCCTCATTGTTCGAGACTTTAAACCGGAATCTCACGGAGTAGTATGCCTTGAACCCTTCCGGAGATATCGCCACGACACCTCCCCCCGAAGCATCAGTCGCGGACGACCCATCGGTGTACACGGTCCACCAATTCCCCTCGGGTTCTTCTCCACTAGATTCTACCTCCCTCGCAGTGCATTCTACCACGAAATCTGCTAATGCTTGCCCCTTTATCGCCGGTCGCGGCTTGAACTCTATTTGAAAGGATCCCAGGAACACTCCCCACTTG